GTGTGTGTGTGTGTGTGTGTGTGTGTGTGTGTGTGTGTGTGTGTGTGTGTGTGTGTGTGTGTGTGTGTGTGATGGCAATAGGAACCTGTTTAGGAAGACGAGAAAGAGGAGAATGAGGAGGAGGAGAGAAGAGGAGGAAGAGAGAGACTGGGAAATAGGGATGGAGGTACTGGACTAGGAGCGACCTTCCATGAGGACCTGTTTAAGAAAGGGAGGAGGGGAAAAGGGGGAGGAGAGGAGGAGGAAGGAGAGAAGGGGAGGAATAGGGAGACTGTGAAATAGAAGGGATGGAGTTACTGGACCAGGAGTGACCTTCCATGAGGACCTGTTTAAGAAAGGGGGAAGGAGGAGGAGGAGGGGAAAAGGGGGAGGAGAGGAGGAGGAGGAAGGAGAGAGGGGAAAGAGAGAGAGGAGAGGTAGAGGGAGAGAAGGAGGAGATGGAAACAAGGGAGGTAGCCCCTTCAGCACTTTCAGACATAGGGTGTACCAAAATCATTTGCTTTTGTTGATTTGTGACTCTGTGAATCTGACCTAACCCATCAGACCTAGGATTATCTCCCACCATCAGACTCAGGCTCCTTAAGGTCAAAGACTTTCCCCCTTAAGACGCGGGGGGAACCCTGGGAGCAGAGACTATTTCTCTACCCTTAGACAGGGGGCTCCCCAAGGTTAGGAACTGTGTTTCCTCCATTAGATTTGTATTCTCCCTCAGACAGGAGGACTCCCACAGTGCAGAGAACATACCTCCTCTATCAGCTGCTATCCTATAGGGCACAGCCAAACTCCTGGAAAAAAAAAACTGCCTACACCTGTTGCCTCCATTTTCTCACCTGATACTCACTTGTCAGATCATTACAATACAGCATGACACCTCCACACTCAACAAAAATGATTTCTTTATCGCTGATGGCTTTGCTTTTCCTATACATAAATGGCGATTTCTGTCTTATCTTCCTTGCCCTCTCTGTAGCATGAGATAATGTTGCCCACCCTCTGCTCCTAGATATTCTTTTCCTGAGTTTTCATGACCCTGTTTACCTGGTCGTACCTGGTCTACCTCTTCCTTCTCAGCTTCCTTTACAGAATTATCATCCTTGTCTTACCCCCTAGGTGTGGATGTATTTCTGGGTTCTATTCTGGGTTCTCCTTCCTTCCTTTTCTACGCTGCCACCTGTTGATCTTATCTCTCCATGGATTGAATTCTTATTTCTATTCAGAAGATCTATCTACCCACTCCCAGTTTCTCTTCTGAATTCCATCACTAACCACTAGATGTCTCGTGTACATCTTAAGGTCAACATGTCCAAAACAGAACTCAACTTTCTTTTTCTTTTTTAGGCAATTGGGGTTAAGTGACTTGCCCAGGGTCACACAGCTAGTAAGTGTCAAGTGTTTGGTCTGAGGCTGGATTAGGAACTCAGGTCCTCCTCACTTCACAGCTTGGTGCTCTATCCACTGCACCACCTAGCTGCCCCCTAGAACTCAACTTTCTTGCAAACCTGTACCCTCTTCCTAACTTCCTGATTTCTGTCAAGGACATTACCCTTTCAGTCACTCAGGATTGTAACCTCAGTCATCTTCAACCTTCTTTTTTTCTCTCATCCCTCATATCCAATCAACTGCCAAGTCTTCGCTTTTTCTACTTAGGCAAAATCTTTTGCATCCATCCTTTTCTCTTCACTCACATGACCACTATCCTAATTCAGGCCTTTGTAACCTCTCACCTGGATTTTTAAATGGTCTCTCTGCCTTTAATTTCCTCCTCTTTCCAACTCATCCTTCATAAGATGCCAAATTGTATAATCTGCCTAAAAGACAAGTTGAAACTAAGTAGGAAAGGGCTTGAAAAATCAAATAGGAGACAACAGGAAGTCACTGATGTTTCTTGAGGAGAGGAATAACATGGCCAGACCTACACTTTAGGAATATCAATTTGGCAGTTATGTGAAGGTTATATTGGAGAGTGAAGGGGCTAGCTGGCTAAAAACCAGTCGGCATAACTTTGCAATAATGCAGGTGAAAAGTAATGAGGGCTTTAACTAGGATGTGTGAGCAGAAAAAAATGGGGAATGGTTATAAGTTGTGAAGGTAGAATTAACCAAGACTTGGCAGCTGATATGGAGGGTGGAGGATAATGAAGAGTCTGAATGACTCTTTAAGTTCCTAACTGGAGTGACTGGAAGGATAAGGATGATGCCCTTGACAGAAATGGGGAAGTTAGGATCAAGGGTGCAATCAAGTAAAAAATGAATTGAAACCAAAAGTAAGTATCAAATGCAATGGGGATACACTAGAATCTTTCTCAGCAATTATGGGAATAAAGCAAGGATGTCAACTCTCCCCACTTTTATTTGCTATAGTTTTAGAAATGATAGTAGTAGCAATAAGGTAAAAGAAAAAAATTAAAGGCATAAAGATAGGTAAAGAGGAGATAAAGCTATCCCCACTTGCTGATGATATGTTTACTTGGAAAACCCCAGGGAACAAGCCACAAAACTAATCTAGACAATTAATAGCTTTGGCAAAGTTGCAGACTCAAAAAAACAACTGCATTTCTACATAATAATAACAAAATCCAAGAGGAAATAAAAGCAAGGAAAATAGCTACAAGATGCATAAAAACTTGGGGATCAATGCACCAAAGCCCACAAAAGACTTGTATAGGTTTAATTACAATGTATTCCTTAAAGAAATAAAGAATAACTTAAGTAGCTGAAGGAATATTCAGTGTTCATGGCTGGGCGGTGCCAATGTTGTTGTTGTTTGTCTTTCGTTCTTGAAGAGGACCATGACATCAGGGAGGTGATGCCATGACATGCATGTGAATTGGATTTAAGTGAGGGAGGGCTGTGCAGAGTCACCAGCCTCACTTTCTCCTCCAGAGTCATCTGGATCCAGTGGCCAGACATATGTGCCAATATAATAAAAATGACGATACCACCACAGTTTTCAATTTTAATGCTATGCCCACTGAATTTCCAAAGGAATACTTTGTAGAATTTGGTAAAATACTAATGAAGTTCATTTGGAAAAACAAAATATCTACAATATCAAGAGAAATTATGAGAAGAGGTAGGGATGAAGGAAGAATAGCATGTCCAGACCTCAAACTACATTATAAAACAGCAGTCATCAAAGCCATCTGGAATTGGTTAAAAAATGGAGAGATGGATCAGTGGACCAGACTTGAAAAAGGAGAACCAGAAACAATGGAACTCAAATATCCACTTTTTTTGGATAAATTGGAAAACATAAACAATTTAGGAAAGAACTTTCCATTTGATAAAAACTGCTGGAAAAACTGGAAAGCAATCTGGCAGAAACTGGACTTAGACTAACACCTTATGCCTTATTCCGCAATAAATTTTAAATAGATACACAATCTTAATATTAAAGATCATAACATAAAAAATTAGAAAAGAAACAGATCATATACCTCTCATAGATATAGCTAGGAGGTGGATTCTCAACTAAACAATGCATGGAGGCAACTACAAAGGATAAAATAAATAACTTTGATTACGTGAAACTGAAAAGCTTCTGCACAGACAAAATTAATGCACCTAGGATAAAAAGCGAAGCAGTCAAAAGGGAAAAAAATCTTTGTATGAAATTTCTCTGATGAGAGTCTGGTACCCAAGAGATATTTATATCTCTATGTGTAATCTACATAATACACACATAATATATATACACATATTCACATATATATGCATATATATGTGAATATATGTGACTAAAAGTCATTCTTCCAATAAATAAATGGTCAAAAGATAACAACAAACAGTTCTCAAAAGAAGAATTACAAAGTATTAACAATTACATGAAAGAATGCTCTGAATCACTAATAATAAGAGAAATGAAAATCAAAACCCTGAATTTCAGCTCACATCCTGCAAATTGGCAAGGATAACAAAAGATGTGAATAGTCAAGTCAATGTTTGAGGGTTTGTGGTAAGAGGCACACTAATGCATTTTTTGACAGAATAGTGAATACATACAACCATTTTGGAATTATACAAATAAAGTGACTAAAATGCCCATAAACTTTGATCCAGAGATTCTATAACTAGGCTATACCTTGAGAAGGTCATTGATAAAAAGAAAAATCCTATATACACGAAAATATTTACAGCAAAACTTCTTTTTGTGATAACAAAGAATTAGAAACAAAGTAGATGCCTATTGATTGGAGAATGACTAAATAACAAATTGTGCATGAAGATAATGGAATAGACTGAGCTATAAGAAATAGTGAAATGTGTATAATACAGAGACACATGGAAAGATCTACATGAATTGATTCAGACTAAAGTCAGAAGAACTAAGAAACAACATACACAATGACTGCAACAATGTGAACAGGAAGAACAACCATGCACACATACACACACAATCAAAAGTGAATGTTGCAAAACTCTGAAGGACATATTCAGTTGTTTCAGTTGTGTCTGACTTTCCATGACCCCATTTGGGGTTTTCTTGGCAAAGATACTGGAGTGGTTTGCCACTTCCTTCTCCAGCTCATTTTACTTTTGAAGAATTGAGGCAAACAGGGTTAAGTGATTTGCTCAGGATCACATAGCTAATAAGTGTCTGAGGCCAGATTCGTACTCAGTAAGAT